GGAATTCTTGGAATTTGACGTCATCGAAATTCCAAGAAGTGGCACGAAGGATACCTCCTCGCACCTTATGTTCTCCTGATACAAATTTTCAAAATCGGGTGCTGGGATTTCAAAAATCGCGCCCTGGAATTCTTGGAATTTGACGTCATCGGAGTTCCAAGAAGTGGCACGAAGGATACCTCCTCATAACTTATGTTCTCCTGATACAAATTTTCAAAATCGGGTGCTGGGATTTCAAAAATCCCGTCCTGGAAGGATACCTCCTCGGTACTTATGTTCTCCTGATACAAATTTTCAAAATCGGTCAGTGGGATTTTGAAAATCGCGCCCGGAAATTCTTGGAATTTTTTTTATTTTTTGAAATTTGGGTCAATTTCTGGGGATCGGAATGACGGGATTTATAAGTAAGTAAATATGCAAATACATGTTTTTATTCATATTTATTTTCAAACACTTTTGTACATCAAATGACTTAACATATTTTATTAATAAATAGATACATTATTAATACTTATTTCTAGAACGGAATTATCAAAATAATATGTACATATTAGTGTGCGCTGTAGTACGGGATGTTTTAGAAAGCTAATAAAAATCTGTTGTGAGAATAAAGATAATGTAGCAATAAATTTGCTTGTAAAATGTTAAAGAAAACTGTAAGTTATGGATGAAAATGTGATAAATACATAAATCGCACCATTGCTTTCTTGCGTTGTATTAAATGTCGTTCATATTAGGCTATTTTGATCGGTACTTGCTTAATCTGAACGCCCCCATAGGCAGGTTTGACGCAGCGCCATCTAGCAGTGATACGCGGAACTACAATAGAAACTTCGCTGATGGTATATTACCCTTGAAGTGTAATCAATTAATTACCGATAGAATTCGGTCGGTACTTTGCACATGTTCATCATAGTTCAGCAGTTTGTTGTTAGATGGCGCTGTTAACTGCATTTGTGGCGGTTTTTTTAAAATTCAGTGTCGTCGGTCAAGATGAGTTCTGTTATCAAAATCGTCGATCAAGAAGAATTCTGTTTGTACTTGTGAACAAATGATTAATTCGCCGTGTGTAGCACTGTGCGTTCCACTAGTATATATAATTTGTGCACATAGAACGTAAATGTGAATATAACCTTTAAATGTATCGTGTTTCTTTTAATATCTGTTTTATTAACTTTACAATTTGTAAAATTGTAATTAGTTGTAATTAATATAACACTGTAAGTTTTGTTAATAAATTAAAAAATTTCTTTATTTTTCAACAGTTTTTGTATACATTTAAAGATAAATACATGTAAATAAACATCTAATTATTTAATATTTTTTATAGAAAAAATTAATAAAGAGGAAAGTACCTATTTCTCAAGAACAAGAAGAGAATACGAAAATAGATACACTAATCTTAAAAGTGTAGTTTCTAAACCATTCTAGTTTAACTGTATTTGTAAACAAAACTGCTGATTTTGTTAAACAAAAACTTAAATAAACTTTCGTTGCATTGTAAATTTGTCTATATTAACATTTTATTAATTAACAATGAATGTTAAATTAGACAATAATGAACCAACTGCAAAGAAAACAAAATCCTCTGACGATATAAATAAAATTTTATGTAACATGACGGATAGTTTAGAAGAAAAAGATAATATAGACAAGAATTCTGAAATTCAAGAAAATGTAAATTTAATGGACGATGAAGTTGTAGAGACAACATTATTAGATAACAATGAGGATGATGGTTTATTTTCATTTCCTCCAGATGACGATATTACAGACATGGTGGAAGAAGTAGAATATGATGGATTTTTTCCTACAATTACAGATCGATATTTTACTGCTTACTATAAATTAAATGTACAAGGCCCTGCAGATGATATTTGTATTTTAATGCATACTAATCGTATTTGTATGCTTACCCTTGCACCGAGTCATGCAGTTTTTCGAAGTGATATAGAAATAACAAAAGTGGACTTTAAAGTCAGTGGTAAATTAGATAGAGTTTTAAATAAAGTATCAGGCAAGAGTAAACATGGTGCACAACCATTGCAAACTAATTCTAATATTTGTATAATTACTTGCTCAAATGGTAAAACATACGCTATAAAATGTTGTATAATTGGAAAGTTGGTGGAAGTAAATGAAGCGTTATTAAATAATCCAAAACTTTTATTGGAACCTCCACATAAAGGAGGGTACTTAGCTATAGTGCTTCCAAACATAAAACTTTTAGATAAAATGAAGGGATTTCTATTAACGCAAGAACAATATGACTCAAAGATGTTAGAGAGTCAAAATGCTGATAATCATTTTGAAATATCTAAAACATGTGCAAAAATTTTGTTAAACAATGATTCAGAAACCATAAATAATGATAAAAACCAAATTAGATGTAATGAAAATCTAAATACATTATCTTCAAATTCAGCTAATATACAAAAATGTTAATGATTTGCTATGTATTTTTAATTTAATTTTTAATAAATGTTCATGTATTTCAAAATGAGAACATACATATTAAATAATAAGAAACGTGTTTCTTTGTACTATTCTTTTCTTGTCTTGTTATAATCAATATTTTAAATTTGTAATTTTTTAATTAATTGTCAGATACAATGGTGTAATCTTTGGTGTACCTCTTTAAAGTTGTTGTGAAACAAAAATTATTTTCGTTTATGCTATACGCTTTCAATGCTTTAAAGTGCAACCTATAGTTCTCATAATTTTCATAATGATACTGTACAAAATTACGAACTGAAAGTATATAATGGCACATGATTGAAACTAGCTTTTGTAATTTACTGGACCAGCCAGTTATTTACATGTTCCTTCTGTTCACATGCACATTTATGTATGTGTGTATGTGGTGCACGCGCATATGTACATACATATATTCGCTAAAATAATGCAATTAATGTTATTTCTATACAGTCAAAGTAGATTGTTTTTGTAATTTCTGTACAACAACAGCATCTTTCTTATGCTTAGAATCTTTTATGATATTTCCTAAAACTATTCCTGCAAACAGAATTATTCCTATTCTATGATTGGAGATGAATTTTTTTGAACAGTCTGCAGGATTATCAATATTTAAATTATAAATCTAAAAAATAAATTTTTTATATTTAATGATTTTAGTTATTATTATAACTTTGTCACCGTAAGAAAATATATCAATATTTATTTTAATTTTAATTCTGTACCTGATTGGCAAGATGAGTACCAACTATTCCTACAGCAGTATAATACGGCCAAGTTTGAGAAACTAATGCTCCTGACATAATTAAACCTGCTATCATAACGCTGCTAAATCCACATAGGTAAGTTTTTGTCTTACTGCCAAACTTTAAGGCTGTTGACTTTATGCCTACTATGAGATCATCCATTTTGTCCTATAATGTATAAATTATTAATAAAAACATACTGGATTAAATATAATAGAAAATGTAGTTCTTGTATACCTGGTGTGCGTATATAGTGTCATATAAAAGTGTCCAACAAATTCCAGAAATATAAAGCGGTAAACATATACACCAATCACATGACCCTTGCACAGCAGACCAGCCCAAAAGAGCACCCCAATTAAAAGTCATTCCAAGTATTAATTGTGGCCAATACGTTACTCTTTTCATGACAGGGTATAATATTACTAATACTGTAATGAAAAGTTGAATGTTTTTATGAGGACAGTTAATATAATTACAGAAAATAGATATCAATATACTTTTATTATTGCTCTAATAATTTGCTAATTTTCCTTCTTTTATAATAAACCTGATAAGTGTTAAATCAAAGGGGAATTACTGAAATGGAAATTTCGAAAGTATTTAAGAAGTAGTTTATATTAGCATCTAGAAATACCTATTGAACTTGCACCCAATATAATACTATATAAATTGAGTTGTAATAATATGAGTAATCCCAAAGTTAATTGGCTTCCAAGAAAAATCAATGATTGTAGAGGTGAAATTTCTCCAGTAACCAATGGTCTATCTTTTGTTCTGGTTACCTAACATTAAAAAATTCTTGTAATATTCAATTTTAAAATACTATATATATCAATTACTACCATTCCATCAATGTCTTGATCCCACATATCATTTATGATACATCCTGCACCACGCATAATAAATGCACCTGCTCCAAAAAGAGCTAGCAGTTGTAAATCTGGTAGTGCACCTGGTGATGCTGCCATGGCTATACTCCAGCCGCATGGCCAAAATAATAGCCAAGATCCTATGTATACGGATTAGCAATTGTTAATATGAAATTAGTTACTATATTTAAAGCTGCAGTATAATTGTAATAATGACTATATCACCTATGGGTTTATCCATTCTTATTAGTTTCAAATACGGTTGAACTTTGGGTGGAGCATTATTAACTATTTTTGCGGCAAATGTTGCATTTTTTTGTTGTGACCACACATTTGTTGTATTAAATTGCGTTGTTCCATCTTTGTCATTTAATGTAGATTTAGCAGGTTTTAGTACATCTTGCTTTGATATTTTGTAATTTTCGGCATGTTGTTTTTCGTGCGCGAAAGATGATACATGAATTGCATTACAAGGATATAAGTAATTAATAACACATTTGCTTTGACTAGATTGAATGTTAGAGATTAAACATTTGCCAGACCGAAATAAGTGATGACACCACCGCACTGTTATCATTATTTGTGTTTTCTATTCGTTGTAAACGATATTCATGAATTCTGTATAACCTCAATCTGTTTCGATTCAATTTATTTCATTAGAAATGCACATTTTTTTGTGCGGTTACGTAGTTATGATATCAGTATTTTTGTTTTATCATTTTTACGACATTGTTTAGAAAAATTCGTCAGCATTTCCTTACATTATATAATTGATTTGGCAAACCAAAGTTACAAGGTTAAGTCGTCATGCTTTGTAACAAAACTGCATCCATGCAGTTGCATAATTATTTGAAATCGACATGCGCAGATATTAATTACATTTCGACGTAGTGGAAGAGAATGATATGAAGTTGTATGACAGGTTTAGAAATTGTCAGATCATTGTATTTGCAAGAATCTTTTTTATTTGAACATATATTTCGGTAAGTATGTATTTAACATTAAATATGTGAATAATTTAAAAGAAATATCTATTTAGTAAGCTAAACTACTGTATATAAATTACTACTAATACGTTAAACTACATAAATGATCGAAATAGTATTAATTTTTTATATAAATTTGATACGTGTCGTTCCATATCCATTTAAACAGTATACTCTGATTGTAAAAAATAATTTGATAAGATGAGATTGCCTATTGACTTGTTTATAAAATTTGAATTTATTGTCTTGTTTATACTGTCGAATATGTAATACATTTGTAGAATATAAATAATTACAGTCTTTAATAATATCTCATCGATAATACAATTAGTTTATCGATTCAAATCATATCATAGTTAATACCAAAGCAAGGTAACTACTGTTATCTTTACCGTGTGTTAAATTGCTACAGTGTAAAGTGTTTCACTTAAAGTAGAGCAGATGACGCTCGTTTCCGAGCCACAGATTCATGCTTGAGAACAAAGCATGCATAGCTTATTATATATCTGTAGTTAATGCCCAATTCTATTTCAAGGTATTAAAAAATAGCGCTATTACTTCAACATTCGAGGAACAATCACGCTCGGTGTATAACAAAATATCTCGGTATTTTATGTTTAAGGTATTTGTAGCTGGACTACGACTGTTTACAATGTCTGTAACCCAAAAACCCGAAGTTTTATTTGTTTTGGGAGGTCCCGGTGCAGGCAAAGGTACTTTATGCCGGTATATAACAGAAAATTATGGTTATGTGCATCTGTCAGCTGGTGACTTACTTAGAGAAGAACGTGCAAAGCCGGGTTCACAATACGGGGAACTGATCGAAAATCACATTAAAAGTGGAACAATTGTACCGGTTGCAATCACTTGTAGCCTTCTGGATCAGGCCATGCAAACAGCTGATTGTGTTCATAAAAGGTTTTTGATCGATGGTTTCCCGCGAAATCAGGATAACGTCGACGGTTGGAATAAGGTATGTAAGCAATGATATGCTTCAATATTTAAAAATATTACATATTTCAATTATTAAGAATAAAAACATATTGTTATTCTTAAACAATTAAAAAAGTTGTGTCTAGATGTATGAAACATGATTGATATTTGTTGTTGTGGTACCTATTAATAGGTGTTTTTTTATGTTTATAGACAATGGCTGATAAATGTAAAGTAAAAGGAGTATTGTTCTGTAAATGTAGCAAAGAAGTATGTTCCCAACGGTGTTTAAAACGTGGAGCTGCAGGCAGTGGAAGAACAGACGACAACGAAGAAGTGTTAATGAAGAGGCATGAAACTTACATTAAAGAAACTATGCCCATAATTGAATATTTTGAAAAGCAAGGCTTGGTTTTTGAACTAAATTCTATGCAATCACCGGACGATGTATTTGGAGATGCTAAAGCAATTTTATCCAAAATAGGATGGTGATGCATTGTAATGGAGTAACTGTTAATGATCTCAATGAGATCACGTTATACTCCACCTGCATATATTAATTATGTCATTTTAAAAAGTATATATATTTTATAGAAATATTTTATTTTTAGCAGTATAGTGTATAATTTACATTGTATTTCTTTGCATTTATGAAAACAGTAGATCATTCCGGTCTTAAAATATACTTTTGAATGCAGCAGTAACTTGTTTTTAAATAATCCTTGCCAAGACTCTTGTCTCAAATTGTATTTTCATAAAATAGATTATGTACAAATTGTCATAGATAGTAATTTGCTACCAATTTCTTTTTACTGTATCTTCATGAACTTTCATCATCATTGTTAAGATGGTAACGATTAATTTACAATTATTAAATATTATTTGAGATTGTTACATTTTTATTGGTGTATGTTATTATAGAACATAAGAATGTATGAATATAAATTTATTACGTAACGAGTTCGTTGTTATAGATATTGATCCCCTGCAGAATGGCAACCCACATTCAATGTAAACATTTTTGCGGTATTGTAGGCGCCAACGATTTCTATAATAAAAATAACTTTCGGTTTCGTAAATACGTGGTAATTACAGATAAGAAATAAAATTACTTTTTCTTTAACATCACAATTGTTTGTGGGAACAAAGGAAAATTCATGTTGAACTCAAATAAAATAAAATATTGTTCTGTTCTTTCTATTAATCTAATTTCTAGCATGCATTTTAGTTCATTTTGTATATAACTGTTTCTCCCAAAATTTTCTTCAAAGAGAAATTAAGTACTGATTTCGAATGCAGACAATATTAATTACTAATGACCTGTTAGTCTATTAGTCGATGAATTAGTGAACTCCGAAATATACATATTATGTACGTACCGAGAGAAGGCAGGTTCTGCCTCGTAATTCATGCTATTACCGAAAAAGAGGACGATTTCTCGATCTAAAAATAACTTGAAAATGCGGAATGGAATTTTCTTATGCAAGATTTGAACAAGATATCTACTTTGAACACGTGCCAGTATGAATGTGAACGAATCGATCTTAATTAAACAATGTACATATTCGATTTTTTCACAAATTGAAGATCTCTTCTAAGTGCAATTAAAAAATGATGTATGGTACAGAAAGTATAATATTAGTAGAATCATGTATTTCTTGTAAGTGCATATATAAATGCATTTAAAAAATTGTATTACTTTGTCGAATGGAATGAAAATTATTTGTTGGTACATTCCGTGTAAAGGAGTATCGTAGCAAAAGAAATGAAACGAATTAAAGTTTGTATTTTGCTAATTATAGAAATTGAATGTCCTACGGTATATTGCAAAACAGAAATTTCAAAGGTCATTATTTTTCGAATCAAGCAAAATTCCTTCTCTCTTCCGACTGATCGATAAATTTAACCGAAAAAAAACACGCCTACGATGAACAAGTTTATTTTTAAACGTAGACAAAAGGCATAACTGGAAACTGGAATTCTGCATCGAAGAGATCATTGACTTCTTTCGATGCTTGATTATAAATTAATCCCCGCTACCTCGTGTTTCAAGTTAATGTGCCTTCACCGACAGAAAGATCGACCCGTTTTCAACTTTCTCATCCAGGTAGCCGAAATCTGTATCGTTAATGAGGCAGCGAGAAACTCTGGCCAGATCTGGGCATTATTTGAATAAAATTATACTAAAGTGTTTAATCAAATGATAAATTATCTTACTTAATCAGATAATTATTCTAAAATCTTCACACGTTAACTCGCCCGAATAGAGTAATAATTTCTCATGAAATTACTTCGTTAGTTGACTTTTGACCGAATGACTTCTTATTTCAAGTCAACGAACAATATCCTGTGTGACTCATTAGAGAGACGGTCATTAGAGGATTCACCTTTCCCTTCCTCGTTCGGTTGCTGATTTCATGCGTCAGACAATTTCCCTCCTTGCCAATGGAAAGTATAGATCGAAGAATCGGAAACCTTCGTCATTCGAACCCTTTCGTTATCAACGAAAATGATCTATGACGAGTGTTCGAAAATGAATTGTGACAAGCAGATGATAACAATAATTCGAAGAAACATATTTCCGTCAACTCAAACTGACGTAGATAAAGACACGGCCATTGCAAACGTCATTACCTTTCGCTTCGAAACAACTTGAGTCGTAGTAAACGACGTCGTTAGTTATAAATAATTAATTCTCTATTTTATGCACTGGATCATACTTACTTCTTGATATAACTACCTAGAGCTGGTGATGTATAAGTGATTGCAATTTGTTTAAACAATATGCAGTGTTGTACAATGTCATTGTTAACTCGTTGTTTGAATAATTAACATTTTATCGATAGTACAGATCGACTCTTTCGTTGAAACGTTTCAGGTGCAACGACTACACGTGATTTCGGTCAACGAACCTGTCGTGTATTTTTCACGATATTTTCCTCTAATTGGATGCGGCAATTACACGATAAACACGTGCCTGTTCTACGGGTTTACGTAATGCCACTTCAATTTTCTTATGTTTCCTTCTCGTTCCTTTTTCATGTCGATTTAAGCTTTCCTCTTGCGATTCTGATAGGATTCGCTATCGGTAATCAAGCGTTATCAATTCGTCGAACTATCAGGCGATTATAATTTCGATTATAATTCTTGATGTTTCTATTCTCCAATTCCACAACAGTAAAGGTACTGTATGAGCGGAGCCGTCATTCAGGAAGCGGAATGAAAATTTTGTCGAAATTCCAGCCACTGCGTTACACAAAATATGTGTAACTGGAAACTTTATTTTTTTTATTGCTGAGTCCCACTTCGATGCAGCATTCGGTACTAAAAGGGAACAATAAAAAAAGGTTCACATAAACGTACGACCTACTTGCCCTTGTCGTCGAGTTATAGCCATTTTGAAGTTCCGCTACTCCTTTCGACCGAGGCAATTCAACCGATCCCGCTGAACTGTCGCCAACCACTTCTTGAATTCTTTCTGGTAAATTTATTTCATTCTTGCGACTTGAATTCGACGATGTATAAATTTGGAGCGAAGTGGAAGTTGTTCATTTTAAACGTGTGACGTAAGTGTACGAGTTCAAAATGATTAAATGTTACCAAGGTTAAGAAAATCGTTGTCACAGAATTTCTCAATGAACTAAATCGTAAAGGCCCAAAAATATCTTCCCAGTCAAACATGATATTTTTATCTAGCGAAGTTTGAACAATCATGAAATCCTTCACTTGTACAAATTCGATAAATCTTCCATCACAATGTAATTTGTTACCATGATAATTTCTACTAAATCTATCCAAACTGTAATTAGAGAACAATTCTATTAAAATATTTGACTCATTTCAAATCATCCATTCTACCTCTGATCATATACTCTGTCCCCGCCGATAAAACAGATATTCCAAGATGGTGGTCATTTATGAGATTTAGTTGTTTCGACCCATAAAATGTGAACTGTAAGTGTAGCTATAACTTGAACTCCAAAGAAACGGTTCCGAACGACATCATGGTACTTAGCATCGCATAGAGTACACCCTGTGTGCGGTTACAACATTGGTCATGTTTCACCCTAATTCAGGGTGAGTTCAGTGGTCTAATTCTTGTATGGTTTTTAAGATGATAATCGATATAGAGTTTCATAAAAACGAGCGCATAATTTTCCATACCCATTGTCATATACATATAATTTAGTATCAATTGTTTTGATCTCTTACAAAATACGTTTTTCTGGTCGATTAAAGAGACTACAATGCGCTGACTATAGTATAGCTAAAGTGCGTATGCATTGATTAAAAAGAAGGGTATCGAGGAAGAGCCGAAGCTGTTAACTAAGGGATGCTTACGGTTCAGCCGAGCGAGGGCTTATCCACAAGTTACCCTGGTGGTTCAGTGCATCACGGTTTGTCGCGAGACGAACTTAAAGGCCAAAGACGATAGAAATGGCAATATGAATAGAGGAAGCTCCCTCGGAATCTTTTATTCTCTCTTTCGCACTGTTCATTGAATGGATCGCTTGTTTATTCGAGTCAGGCGTCGATTGCCCATTTGTACAACACTGTCACTCGCGATAAAGCCGCTGCCACGAGGGCAAATTCTTGGACAGGTATATCTAAGAGAAGCGCGTGGCTGGCCCACTCATCATCTTACTCGACTTCGAGTCGTTTCTCTCATCGAGTCGAATTCCTACCATGGATACCGCTCTCCCACTCTCCTCTCTCTGTTTCTCATCATTGGCGTAACTAAGATTTTTGATTCTGGGGTGGAACGGTTCCTCTGACCTTACGAGCACTGTCGATGCCCTACGCCAGAGATGCCTAAACATTCGGGCATTTTGCAGTTTATGGATTTGGAACTTTAAACGTTTTTCTATTTCGAGAAACGGTAGTTCTGACGTTAGGAAATTTGGATGTTAATAAAAAAGAAAAAGCAGGCCACATTTTGGAAAATAGAAAATTGATAAGATTAGAAATTTAAGAATTGGGTTCTTGAAAATTTCGGCTGTTGGAAATACAATAATTAGAGAATACTTGTAACTTTGAAAATATATAAATTGCTGACACCAGTTATACGAGGTATTCTACGTCGAATGTTTGCTGACGCTACGTAGGGATGTTTTATTTGATATTCCTGAGGGATGTAGGGCAGGCCCACCCTGGTCCCTATCTAGTTACGCCAATGTTTCTGAATCCAAAGTAGAAGGAGGAGGAGACACATTACGCGCGCGTAATCCTCGTCGCATCGATAAGGTACCCATCGGGGAGTCGAATGTTCTTACCCCCATCATCGTACCAGCGCCTCGAGGCAATATATAAATGCACCGTCGATTGACAGAACGTACAGTTCACGTTTTGACGTCTGTTACGCTCCTTTTACTGCGTAGGACACCAGCCTAAGTCACGAGTGGGCACATGACAGTGCACGCCACGTGCTTCGGCCGAAAAGACACGCGTGTGCCAGTCTTTAACACCATCGATCAAAATGTTTCGTTCGATCGTTTTACACCGGCATATCTCTCACCTATGCCCCTGTTTAATCGCTGTTATGCTTCTCGGACTCTTTATGCCGGCAATTGCAGTTGACAGGCCGGAAACTGTGTTACTCGATTTGCTTGCGAAACCTTTTGCACCCTCCGATGGAGTGTCGGCCGAGTGCCTTAAGGACAGCGGAATTTATCTGAAGGAACTCGCAAGATATGCACCCTGGGCGCTTCAAAGTAAGTCTTTTCTGACTCTTCTCGGTCTTCTTAGTGTTCCATTCTTTGTGAATTATTCTTATTTTAATTGACAAAAATATTAACTTTTACTCGACTTGCGGTATCGTACAATATTTTTGTCGTAAAATGTTATTCGATAACATATAACAATAGAAATGATAGGAAACAGTTCGATATACATATATTTGCAACGCTCTTTTTTTAATACAATTTGGGTGCTACTAAAATAATCGATCGACTGAATGAGATGCTGGAAATCAAGTGGTACAACGATTCGTATCTATAAGCATCTATCGATATCGATAGATAAGAATGATAATCGTTGCACTGTACAGTGAGTTTATTCGATCTACTAGTTAAAGTTTGTTTCGTTTCACATGTTTATACTATAACAGAGTAAAGTAGCGGGAAAAGAAGATTTCAATTAATATAGGATAATAAAATATAAGATAATGAAATGATATAAGATATTCGAAAGGTAAGTTAATCGAACTTTGTCGATTAACAATTACACTAATAATACACCTTGTAATCACTTTGGTCTAATTGTCATAATCGAAAGTGATTCGTAAAGATTGGCGTCAGCAGAAGGAATGCCGCCATTTTGAAAGAAGCTAGCGCGTGCACATAGAGTTCGAAGAGAAACGTGGGGAAGTTGTGTCATTGTCGTTTCGTTTTCTGGAAGAAGAACGACATCGATCTTCGTATCGCGTAAACAACATGCACGCAGGGGACAAATAAAGAAAACATGACGTGTAGGAGATGCATCACGTGTATGTTGCTAGGGTTCGCAACATGGGATCTCTGACCGATTTATCGGGCAAGTTCGAGGTGCAATGCGAACATGTAGACCCGCGATCACCGTCATTGCTGGGTCTTGTCATCGAAGATAAACTCGAGAAAACTCTGAGATTTTGATAATGCCGGTAAAAAATTCATTGCTCTAATAGGCGTTTATCAATAAAGCGGAACGAAGCGAGGTTTTCATGTTTCAACCTTTGAATGTATAAAGGATAAAAATTATTAAAGCAGCTGCAGGGAGACTAATCGCTAAGCAGGAATAGATTTTTCTTGGAATCAAAATCGGTATCTCGATGAACTTGGTCGCATCATTTATAAGTTCAAACTATTGGTCGTTCATCCCGATTGTAGTCTGAACGGCGGTATTCTTCTTATTTTCTTCTTATTACTTTTGCCACCGATCGAATGTAAACAAAATTAATTCACAATGAAGATACATCGATTTCGAAGTCACGTATTACTTGTTGATACGTTTAAACTTGCACGTATGCTAATTGTAAGTTTATTGAATGAATCGAAAATTATCAATGCGCTTCGAAACGATTGACCGTCGAAGTCTCATTTTACACGAAAAAAGTAACTTTAATCTCGTTTTGTGAGTTTCTTCCACTACTCTGTAATGGAAAGCTTAATGAAAGCTTCATCCGCTTCACGTAATAATTATTAGTTTCAATATTTGAATGTAAGTAAATTTCGTTTTCTCTAGAAATATTTTTTCTTTTCGAGGATTCGATTACGACAAAAGGCTACATTCGCTTCGAGTACCGAACGTGTTAACGTATTGATATGAGTAACCAAAAGTCAATGAACCCTGTTTTTTTCGAAAACAACAAGATAATCGATCGTGCAAAAATGATTAATTACATTACAGAATATTCTGAAAATCGTCCGTTCCGATGGCCTCCAGATAATTTATCGGTTCTTTGAATTTCAAAATGTAACACATTAAGAGCATGTAATCCGTCGAGATATCGTTCGTATCTTTAATAGCAGATTGTACTTCGTTTTGAAGTAGAAAATTTTCATTTTTAATTTTTCTATGCAACGTATTTAATAACATCCTCTTTAACGTTATTTTTTAATCGATAATTCTTCACGATGAAACACAAAATTTGAACACTCAGTTAAATTGCGCGTGCATGTTTCTATCGAATCCTACCTTTATTTTGTTTCGATGTAACCTAATGATTCGTGTGTCCGCTTAGGTGAAAATTCATAATATGAAATGAAAGCATCTTCGTTTGCGCATAATCCACAACGATAAAATGTAATCGTCGTTCCAGCATTTTCTCGAAGAAAAATATTTTCTTTACACTGGTTATAATAGCTGCAGATAATAATATTTTCCAGAGATAATTGAGGGCTAGTGGTCACCTCATGTGTTTCTGTAAATGGAAGATAAAAACGAAAATGAGAGGATTTGCGAATTCTTTGGCCGTTTAAACGCTCTGATTAACCAAATTTCATCAACAAAATTTCTTAATTTTTCAACCTCCCACATAACTAACTGAAGTTTCGAAGATCGGTAAAAAAATGTTCGGTTTCAAAATCCCATAAAAAATTAAATATTGTTCTCTGGTAGGATAATTTAAGGATTTAGCGAGTTTCTTAATGTTCCGAACATCTCGATTGCATGAATTCTTCGAGCTCACGGTGTTCTCGAAGGTATAAATTTCAGGTGTCTGAAATAACTTGATTTTTCTGCATTTGTCGAGTTCCACGCCAGCGGTAATGTCTGTACGTTTTTAGGACACGCGTATAATTTTTGGCTACAGCACTCCTTTTCATAGGTTGCTCAATTGGTTTCGCAGGTCAGTGAACCGTCACCGAAACACTTCGGAATAGAAATGAAGTCATAGAAATCGACACGAGGATACCGTTTGATCTATTTAGAACTTGTTAGATGGCCATTCATTTATTTTCGGTCCTTTTTAGAAAAAAGAATTTAACTAAAAGTCCAGAAACTCGACGAAAAGGATAGTCGTTGTTTTCCTTTTCTCCTGCTTCGTTCTAACTTCCGTAAAAAAGTTAATTACATTTCATTACTAACGGTGAACGATTCTGTTTGACATTTGGAAAGAAAGGTACATACGTGAACACTAAGACATCGACGATGAACACGTTTCGGTGAAAAGATTTGGCAATTACCCTAGTTAGAAATTTTGTTCGATACATTAGTCGGCCATCTTTCTTCATCTTTCCTTTCGTATTTGGTTAAAATTCCTTCTACAGATAAAAGAACAAATCCGCGAATACTTGATCGAACCAGTGGAATAGTTTCAATATGTAAAATCATTGTTGTTTCACGTGAAACCGAATGATCATCGTTCATCTCTGTTCACTTTACTCCGTCTATAATTAACAATAATTGATTGTTGGTAGTGTGTAATTGGGTAAGGAAGATTAATAATATTACAAATGTCATTTGATATTATAATCCCGAGCCTATATTTATTCGAAATGGTCTCGAAGAATTACACGCGATTAATGTGCCGATGAATGGAATTCTTTCGATAAAACGGCAAAGAACTGAGAAATGTTTGCAGATAACGTAAACCGGTATGTCGTACGAAATCGAGAAGGAATCCTTGAAATTTCGTAATCGAGTCTATTTATATGGGATAAAGAAATTTTAATGAATATTGCCAAAAACCAGGATGGTGCAATTTTAAGATTTATGAGAAACATTAATAAATTTCGAAGATACATATTGATTTAACAAATTTCATGTCAGATCTGTCCGCTGTACTTAACTTAAGCAACATAAGATGCAACTCAAATCCAAAAGACTATCTTTTTATCCAAAAATGAAATAATAGAATAGCATACTAGTAATGTAAAAGTATTGGGATTTAGTAGATTAGGTATATCAGATGAAATTAATAATGAAATTTAGTAACAACATTTACGCATATTTCAGACTTCAATGACTTCGTTATGTGAATCTTTTATGCGAAGGTTCACTGTTTACCATACGTCTATCTTGATCGCGTTAATACGTGAACAGATTATCATAATCAATTATTTTCAAATATTTTCTCGACAGAAAACTATTAATTGTTTAAACCAACAGTTAATTAGTTATTTTTAATGACTTCTTTTTAATCACAATAATATTTACATTGGTGCATAACATCCTGTAAAATGAAATTTATAAAAAATTATATAATTTTGCGATAGAGAATTAATTATGTAAATCGAAAAGTGATTATTTGTAATTAATTTAAATTCAGTAACATTAAAGGCGACGAGAACGCCCCGTGTTGCCAACATTTGAATGAATTTCTGGTGAATTATTTTCGATCGATAAAAAAAATCACGGAAATATTGATATCGACGAATTACGAATAAAGAACGATTATGGATTTATCATCGAGCTGAAAATTAACCGAGTTTTCTTCTCAGAATTACGCGATTTAACAATGAATGTAGCGCCATTTGTTATACTTATCGCGATTACGTACTTGCCGATGTCTATGCAGAATATTACTTGCCTCAGCTTAAGGTCAAGCTTCAATGTTACGAACGGTCGACATATCGTGAAAAATGCCATTCGTGGAAACATCGAAGTATTCTATAAACTTCTTTTCTCTTCTCTGCTCCTTTTTGGAAATCTATCACGATATTAGGAATTCAGTGATCCAGCGAACTTCTAGGAACCTAGGAATCCAGAGGCATACAGATTTAAAGTTGTAGAATGTTCAATTATTCAGAAATGACGAAATAATTTTTACGATTATTTGTACTGATTATACTATGGTTATTTAGCACTTTTAATCTCAAGAACATTTGACACGTAGAAAAATAATTGGCGAACTTATTATTGATCGGTAAAAAAACGGAAGAATGAAATGATTCGAAACATTGTTCGAAACGAATAAATGAAAATAAACGGTGGTCTTTATAATCATCTTAATGGAGATGTCGATACGACGATGTAAGGAAATTACGTCGGGAACTGAAACAATGCTATGTGCAATGAAAATAATATTCCTTCCTCTTATTTGTTCACGCTTTTAATTACACCGCGCACTGTTGACCCGCAAATCCATTAATAAAGATAAACGAGAAATTTACGCGTATTGCGTTGATAATGTTCGCCAAAGATCACGGTAATTGCATAATAGTTCGTAATGATATTTTGTTGCATATTTTCTCGCGTGCTTTGCAACATTGTTCATTTGTTTACAAACGTTCCA